ATTCCTCAGCGACTTGGAAACTACCAAGCTTTGCATAGTAAAATCTACCTGGATGTAACCATATGGTTTCACGAGGAAGTCAGAGGATTAAGGATTTCTAGGTTGGTGTAGTGACAATGTTTCATTTACGGTGGTTTGTTATATTAAAATCTGCTGTATATTTGAGGACCAGCTGGGGCAGCTTATGCTAGTGTTGACACTGTTGTTATTGTTGCAACAAGCCTTGGCAGAACTAGAAAATTTATACGTGTGATAACACAATATGAAAATTTTCCATGGCTCCATTAGATTAGACGAGTCATACTTTGAAGTGGGTATGGCCTTTATTTGGATATGATGGGGGAGAACTAGACAATGATTTTTCTTTTCTATTGTAGCTTACCAGTTTCCTCCATAAATGTTATACATACACTCTTAATAGTGTTAACTGACTACAAGCTAAAGTAGCAGAAATGTCAGAGAAAATTTACTGCTTTGAATTATTGATGTGCCATCCCAATCTACATTGATGATAAAACCCAAATATACTTATCAATCTGGTATCTGTCTGAAGTGATTTTCCTCACTTATTCTGATTGCTTATCACACGTTATGCTGATGGACCTGATTAAACTGTCAACATGTGATTACTGACACAACTAATGGCAGGCTGTCAAATAAAACCGCTTCATCTAATTTGCCCACAATCTATCAAACTTACTTCTCATTAAAATTCATTTATCTGGAGCTACAAAGTCTATTTTGAAAATTAATAGAATATGAAAGTATAAATATTCTATATTTTGCTGCAAAGTCTATTTTGAAAATTAATAAAATATGAAGGTATAAATATTCTATATTTTGCTGAAATTAAGATGTTCCTGTTCAATTACTCTTTGCACTCAAATTTTTTTTTCAATCACATTACATTGAAAGTTGCTGCAACAAAATTTACACCTTAGACTTTTCATGTTATGTAGATACCCATGACTGTTTTATCCCTTATACACCTTCTTTATCATTTGCGAATAAATCCTACTTATAATTATACATCAATGTATATATCTATATATACCCTTTGGTCCATGGCAAAGAAATTCTGAGGCTTACTGGCCAATCCATAAATTGCCAAGTTTCCACATCATTTCTGGCAAAAACCTTCATCACTGAAGTGTACTCTTTTTGAGTTCCAGTACAGCTAATATCTGATATCAACATTTAACAGATAGGAAGTACAAGTTTTTACAACTATTCAAATGTTTAATAATTATAAAAATGCCTGTTTCCTCGATACATGAAAAAAAAATATTTGTAATAGGAACAAGATTTTACTTGATTATCTAATGTTTTCTTCCTTTCTATATGTCGCAAGATAACACTACAATTAACCGTTTGGAATTCTAAAAATTTCAAGCAGAAAAATGTAAACAAATTTTAGTATAGATCGCTATTTCACAAATGTATACTTCAAAACAATTGATTTCAATCTCTTCTCTCTAATAGACTACTCAAGTTTCTGAAATAATGAATTATTCAAACGTTTTACTAAAGATTAAAGTCAAAATCTAGGAAAAAATTTTGGAGTCTCCATCCAAAACTGAAATGGTTAATTGGCAAATATGACAAGATATTCCTATCATCATGTGCTGTAAACAACAATGGCGGCCTATAGGACAAGGGGAGTGGAATGAATTATGCATGATGCCTGAGTATGATATTAATGTAATTGGCAAAGGATCCGCTCCATTTGGCTGAGATTCTGGGCATGTGGCATGTGTACCTGAATGACTATTATCCCACAGCTTCAGTTCCCACAGGCCATGAATCTGACACAGGGAAACAATGACTCTGGTATATATATATTTCATACTGTGTATGACTAGGTCACACAATACTACACACACTTTCATTTCATATGTAAACACATTCACTTTACGCTATCACACAGATCTATTTTCCAAGATAGCTGATGCATTTTCATCCTATGATAAACAAATATCTGCTGTATACCTTAACAACTATCCTATGGCATATATATACCAATTTTATAAATTTTCATTTGAATTGTTTACCTCAACTGTTATGTCTTTACATGTACTCAGAATCTGATGCTGGCATATTTAACACTGCCAATTTCCAGTTTTTCAACTATTTCAATAAGCCAGTTCCCATTAACAAATAATAATAATAAAAATGCACGCTAAAGGCCTTTTCAACTTTGATTGACTGTTTGTCCTAATCCCTGCAATTAAAGAATTTTGTTTCATAAAAATACAACCAACAACTGTTTCTACGTAATAATCCAAATACTTGGCCTATTTGTTGTATTTGTAATATTGGCTAGCAGCTGAGCAATGGTGTACAGGGCATGTCAAAATTTGACATTGACAAGTAAAAAACTAACAGAAACTGTTTCAGTAAAGATGGAGGCTGAGTGCCACATAACCCTGTGTCTGTGGCTGGTTGAGTGGGGCAGGAGGCAGCTGCGGTAACTGCATCAGCCTGGCATAGTTGTGTGGCGTGTGTACACATGTAATATTTCCTAGAAATTTTATCAGGAAATGGTTGTCTACACTGGTAAAGCAAAACCTGTTTGCCATTAGCTTCCAAGATTTGCCTCCATGGGGATGATTGAGAATGTTAAAGGAAACAGACAGAGGAAGCCACAAAATTTCATCAGAATTAATTTTTAAGGCTGTCAGAAAAATGAAGAATGCTAAATTCTTTCAGAAATTGGTCTGCAAAGAATGCTCAATTGAATTGGAACATGTCAGAAAAATAAATATTCAATATTTAGAGAAAGAAAGTTTGGTGTAAGCAAGAATGCCAAAAGATATTTAGCAGGAGTTCTAAAACCCATCAAATAAGAAAATAAGGTTCCCTCTTTTCCTCAGAAACCAAGAATTTAAACTAATATTAAACAAATAACTAGTAACTAAAAGAGACATGCGATATTATCAGCCAGGGTAAGGATGTCGAGAAAATTGATATCAAAATAGCTGATTAACCACGAAAGCAGGAAAATGCATCATGCCATCAAGTTGTATGGAAAAGCAAAATGATTGAGAATCCAGGACTGAAATTCCCCTGTGATGGTGGAAAACAGTTTGATAAGAGGTGAATTGACAAGATTGTGTTCCATAGCTCTGTTGACCCAAGGCTTCAGAAACTGGCTGTGATGAGAATCCACTGATGCAGCACCATAGTCAAGAAAGGAATGACCTCTTGGGCATTTGGTCAGAAGCAGTCATTCCAATTACTGCCTAACAAACTTATTACACAGCCTGCTGTATTATAATATGTCACTTTCAATTCTTCCACTGCTCCTGTTACTCTGCCTAAATGACTCTCATGGATATTCATGAAATCATCTGACCTGTGAGTATGTGTGACAAAGATTTAATGTTAACCAAAACATCTGACATGTATGATTTAAATAATCATTTCTATTTTTCCTACAACTACTTAACAAAATGTATGAAGAAATTACTAGTATCTTTAAAAAGGGACGAAAAATCGGCTAAAACAACTAATGGTTTGATATGATTTATCTGCTAAGTGGCTAAGTGATATGTTTAGATAGAGGTGTTGATATCATGGATGAGCAAGCAGGTCCACTATCACTCCTGATATACTCACTCAACTTTATCGAGAACAATAAGGGCAGATGGTAGGTAATTCAATGGAGATAATATGCAAGGCGAGCTAGTTGCTTGTGAATGTCAGGTGTGTTATTTTACCACCACAAGGCTGTCATCCTACCCCAGTCTTGCTTCTAGCAGTCTATACCTACATCTGCCATCATACCCGAGTAATTATACATCTGGTAATGACATGTAATCATCCACTCATGACTTTTCATTGTAATGTCACAACCAGTCTGATTAAGCCTACCAAATACATATTCTAGAAATGTATGTTGTATCGCTTGACTACAGGATATTTGTCAAGACATTTCTTAACAATTAAACTTTCAATAATACAAAGCTGTATTTCTACCAATTTCATATATATGAAAATTTCATATTACTGCAGCAAAAACTGGATGTTTGTGATCTCCTGCAGGTGAATTTGCAACCACCTGCTCAAGCCATGTGTAAGTTTGAACATCCGACATGAATTTGAGCTATAAAAAGAAAATCACCAACAGCTTTGCTCACTTTTCATAAAAGCAATTAGACTAAAATGATTGAACTTTTGATGGTGTCTCATGATAATTGAAAAATCTTTTAGTGTTCTTTTTTTTTTTTAATTGTAAAAGGACACAAATTTTTCATTGTTCACATATCAAGAAGTTTTACAAGTCTTCTACAACTGTTTGCCTAGACATTAAACAATGACATGCTATTTGCAGAATTTAAATCTGGAACAAGTAAAACCAGCCAAATGATTTGTGGTGTATTGTTGCAAATTCATCTGTATTATCATTGAAATATTTTGAAATAAACATTTCAATAGCATCTGTAAATCAACAAAATAGTATTCAATTAGCAACACCAATATATTTGTCAAAAAAATGCTTGGGGTGAAAAAAATGAAGCAGGAAATTAAACCTGGATCTATACAGCTGAAACATAAAGGAACAAATTAGCAAAAGAAAAAAGAAACAATATTGCAGTAATAATAAATAATTCTGTATGACATTTCGTACATGGTAACTATGTATTGTAATGATATAACAGCAGTTTGTCGATTAATTCTACATGTCTGTGTGCTTGACAAATCTGATCAATTTCTTTGGCCATAACTGCGAATCAGCATTGACAATTGACAATATCATTTGAAATGCTTTTATCAATGAAAGTGACGTTCAATTGTTCAATAAACGGTTTGTCAATATACTACGACAGATACTACACAATCCTGACTGCACGTGGTTTGTGCTGCCAGACCAGTCTCAGAGTATGGATTTCTACAAAAGGTGGAGAAAATGAAGGATGCTGTATTCGCAAGATTCTACGGTAAATCTACAACTAAAGTGCTTCTTCTTCTAATCTACCTTCAAGTCTTAAAAATTTTACCTGCGAGACGCAATGCAGACATTCGCTGAAATTCTGGTTCTTGAAGCCATTTCCACATTCTGCGGAACGTTTCCCTCCCAGACTTCAATTTGCTCCATGGTTTTGGATTTCGCAAAAGATCGCTTAATGTTCCCTGACTTCTACATAAAACTCTCTGTGCGAAAACTGCCTGTGGTATACTATAACGTTTAAGTTCGCTGCTGATTCTCTGTGCCAGTTCCTTAGTGTTTATTTCCTCGATTTCTTTATTGCTCTGAGAATCCATTGGACCAACTGACTGACCCCTCTGGGGACTGGAACTTTGACTATTTGGTGACGCATCAGGTGTAACTGTATGATTTCCATGCAATCCATTGAGTGTCGACATCATGACAGGATTAGGAGAACTGAGTCGTGTTGGTGGCGGAGCCAGATTTCGATATGTTTCATATGTATTTGGTGATAATCCTGTAGGGGACTTATGATCGGACTTGGGTGAAGGCAGTCCATTTTGACTTACACCAAGACTTACATTCACATTATAACCGTAAGGTCCAACACCTTGTGAATATCCGTTTGTTGTCATCATTGTCATGGGGCTTGTGGCCAAACTTGGGCCCATATTGGAGATGTTCATCCCCATCCCCATCATTTTGTCATATCTGTAAGCAGTGTTCATATCCATGCCAAGTCCATTGTTCATAAGTGTAAAACCATTTCCACTGACATTAGAAGCCTGAATCTGGTTGAACTTTTCTGACACTGTAGAAATGGGGGGTAGTGGTTGTAACGGAGTGAGGGTAGCGTAGCTGTTAGGGCTGTAGTTGGGGCTCATCCTCCCGTTCAGAGTCTGGTATGTAACGTCCCCCATTTGGGAACGGAACTCCGTACTGTCGATCATACTGGCCACCGTAACCGGAATGGCCTCGGTTCTTGAGATGTCGATAGATGGTGACAACTCGGCCTCGGGGCTGGACACTGCACTGACACTGGGTACTGCTGGGAAGTCAGTGTCAGACTGTGTGGTATCGCGTGAGGACTGTTGACTTGCTGTGTCTACTCCACTGCCTCCTCCGACACTCAATGGTGTGGTGACGGACGAATCGTTAAGTTGTTGATCCGGCAGCTCGCCCATGTTTTCCATCGTCATTCCAACAATCAACAAACGATCGAACAACAAAGAATGATAAACTGTCAGTTATAGTAACCTTTGGTAGCGGTTTGCTGGTTGGTTAGTCGATATTCGGGGGCTATTACGTACGCCTGGGAACAAGCAAGCTGTGCCTTAGTTCAACCTCCATGTTTGGACAGCTGTGACCTGCGCATTACAATATTGCGCATGGTTCATTATTATGGGCATGCGCTCTTCGATTCCGCGAAGAAGTTGTGTACAACAATCTAAGCAGAGCTGATTTGACTGTTGCGGAATAAAGGTCGCCCAATGCTCTTGGGACAATCGTTGTGATTTTTAATCTCTCATCTTATTAAATCACTCTATATTTGAATCAACAATGGAATTGATTAACTAAAATGATAGCTGATTGTATTTTCTTTCTCATTTTGGAATTTATTTTGGATAATGTATTTAGAAGTGACTTTATGAAAAAAAAATAATAAATTAACGGAAAGTGGTAAGTCTCATAATTCTTATAGGGATACTCAAACTCATCCCAATAACGTAAATATATATTTTTCTTTAAAATTTACAAAAAATAGTAAATGTTCGTTAACTTTTAAGCTATTTTTAAAAATTGCTAATGGACAGAGGGGTGAATCAAGTTAGATCTGACAGAAAGTTATGCTGTAACGACACCGATGTTGAGTTAATTGTTTTCCTTTGTAAGGTAAAATGTTTTAAAATATATCATAAATCATGTGAAAGCTAGCTATTCCAAGTTGGTTTTGTTAAATTCTTGTTAACGAATATCAGCTGTCACTTTTCAACATATAACTTCTACATGGTTCATTAACCCGTTTAACGCAATAGAAAGTTATTTCGATTTTCAATAACAAATACAATCAGTAGTAATTATTAACCTAGGAAGACTTTACCGATTTTCTTCTTGGAATTGAATTAAAATTGATTTTATCACTGCTCATACAATATAGACGTAATGTCAATGTGTACATTTATTCATTTTTTGTATTTTTTTTAAAAAATTAATTTTCAGTTATATTTGTATAACATAATATCATCATATTTCCATAAACATAGCGCTGGACTCACGCATTTATTTAAGATATAAAGACTTATAAATACGAATCCGTGGTTAAAGTTATGAAGATACATATATACACATTTTGTACGTGTCTTTATTTTTAGATAGAAAAGTAAGTTAGGCTGAAAGTAGTTGACGAATTATAGATTATAATCATCAAAATACAATTAATTATATATTTTTACTTGTGACCGAGAGCATGTAATGAAAAAGAACCGCGTGCGATATATGGTGACATACGGCGTCACGACGATTGTTTTTCTCACGTCCGTATGGAAAAAAATCGGACCCTGTCAGGTGTTAATGATTCCGTTCATCATTAATTCTTCACGCGGTGTTACTTGTAGTGATAAGATGATATAGAACAGATGTTTGTTATATACTTGTGAATACTAACACACTACAAGAAATCTGTTGACAATTTGTTAACAGAACGTCGTAGTTTTATACAATTTTGATTGACAGGTAATTTTTATATAGTATCATAAGAGCTCATCGGTGATCAAAGAATCGAAAAGTCTCTGCTATTATTCCTTAACACAGCAAAATCAGCAGTGGCATCTGTGTCGTGAAAGATCATCTTCAGAGTTGATTCACCTCGTACACGTACATGCCATTGTAAAAGGAACATTCTCTCCCCCTCCCCCTCTCTCTCTCTCGTATATCTTTAGTGAAGTTACTGCTGACTTTATGTCCTATCAACAGACAGAATTCGACCTTTTTGATAAAGTTTGTACAAAGTACTTTAATATGTCATTACACGACATTTTTTTTTTATGTAATTGATAATTATTATTACGATAGAAGTTGCTAATAATAAGTTGGCAAAAGTACTAATTCGTTTTAGTATTTCCAGTTTAACAAGTTTGAACAAAATTAACTTAAATGAATAAACTCATCAGACTATTGTTATAAATACAAGATTACTACTCATAATGAAAAGCTAAACAAATTTAAACAGTTTTAAACAAAATGAATTGGAAATCAAAAAGTTAAACAAGAAAAAAGTAGAATCCTAATCAGAAAAGTTATGTGTGCATTGAGAATCTTATATCAATATCAATATGTTTGATAAATATTTTAGGCTTATATTCGGTATAATTCAAATTCAAAACAATGTTTTTATTAAAGCTGGGACTTGTGTGTAAGTAAAAATATCATGATAACACATGAAATCATAAAAAAGAAAGAAAAAATGATAACAATCATTTCTGAATATGCTGTTCATACGGGCCACATTACATGTTTATCGGTTTTTCGCTAAGAATTTGTAAATGTAGAAATATCTTTATATTTCTTTTATGTAACAAAAGATAAGTGAAATAACATGATTTCGCGGACAAAATCTCACCTCATTAATAATTCAGGAACTGTAAATTATAACGGTACCCATCATCCAATGAAATTTATTGACGCAAAAGACCAATCGCTGCATCTGTTTTGGCAGGTGGCTGCATTTTATGCTTAGAGCGTTAAAAATAATTATAAACAATGACATACTACACCCATGGCGCATGGAACTTTCACGCCAAACCTTGAATAATACATGAAAGGGATAACAGGTTCCGTAATAGTGATAATGTTTATTTAAGAATTTAAAATTACGACAAGAATTGTTTTGTTTACATTCTTTTTAATGGTATAGGCGGCAGAGTGTTTTCACAGTATGGCCTCCATGAGACATTTTCCACGTGGGTTAGCGTGTAGCAGTGGCAAAAAGCTGGCAATATTTGAATATAGGTAAATGTAACTTATGTCTTTTCGATCTTGCGAAGAATTCATACTTTAATGCCAATAATATACTGTTGACCCGTCCCCAGTGAGTGAACATGACCAGCAGAGAGCACATAGGCGGGTCTATGTTTTGAGGGCGGTCCCATTGATTCAGTGCTATTGATCTTGACGAGATCAATGGAAACCATCAATGGAATACTTAAGGGAGTCTTGTAGTATTGGAATTTACTACACATCATCGATTTTGACATAACTTAACACCAACTGTTGATAACAATGTGATAATCGTTAAATAGGGGTCGATTTTTGGATACAGCACCAATAAATCAGAAATAAGTTCCCGTCAAAACAAGAAACCAATCCATAGTTTTGACTCGACGGCAAAGTAAACGGGGTATTACACAAATGTGTCGAAATAAATCTAATCAGCAAGTCGACTTGGTCTATATTTTCTTCTCATGCATATATAGATTAATCGTTCGATTCTGTCTTTGCCATGAAAATCCCACTATACATGTGAGATGCTGTTATTGATAAAGTTGCAGTTGGCGAAACTGGTTATAGACTTATATGATACTTGTGGAGATAATAGTATATATGTACTTAGGTCAAAGATATGTTTGACCTGTTAATTGATGTTACGTCAGGCATTGGAAATTTTTACTACAAAAATATTCTTTGGTTCTAAATTGTGACAACATCTAGATCAATGAACAAGTGGGATGGATTGCCTCGCTAAAAATACTTAATATACAACAATGCTTACTGTGATAGTCAATATAACAGACATATGTCCAGTTCTGACATCCACAGTACCACATAGACAATTCATGTTTAATGCTGGGTTGATAACCAATGATCTCCTTTTCATTATGGAGAAACAAACATATTTGGTTGTAAGACAATTATGTCCATTTCTTTATTACATTAGACAGACAATACATGTATCCAAGTTTTAATGCTGAGTTCCTTGTCAATACCTGTACTATATTGACAACAATTTGATACCCTCTGACACAAAATGATGTGTCATTGATTTCAATCTCTTGATCACCTCCTCATATGCTCGGGAGTCATCTCCCATAAGAACATGTTTGATGCCTTTACAGAATCTTTTCTAGATAATGTATACATTATGCCCTTCTTTTGAACTTGATCTTCATAGACAGCAAAACTTTGGTTCCTTTTTTAATGTATGAGACTTATAATTGGCAATGTGGTAGGTGTTCAAATACCCATAGGGAATAAGGTTGACTTAGTATTTTCTTGACAAATTAAACACTGATATGCAAATAAGTTTCGGCATTGAAAAATTATAGAAAAATACCAATGTCAGAAGGTTCAACGGAGTATAAATGATCCTGTTCAAAGAGCAAAACAAAGAAAAATAAAATCCTGTTGAACACTCAACAGGAATCAAACCTGGGTCTCTTTTGTGGTAGTCCACTGACTCTACCAACAGGACCAAAAAGCAAACTATTCATTGTTTTTAAGAGGAAAATGCAAACTCCAACATTTCCTTTTTACATGCAACACTGAATGCTAAAGTGCATTACTGGTTATGATGCTTCATCAGAAATAACACCTGACTACTTAGCTGCAATGAGAGTAGCCAATATATAGTGAATACTTGGTCAGTGTCTTAAAATATGAGCTGTATTTTGACGAGTGTGAAGAAATATAGCCAAAACACAGCTTATATTTTAAGACACTGACCATATATTCTATTTATCTTGCAACATTGTTTGAAAATCAGACTATTGAAACTTAAGTTTAGTCGTTCAATCTGTGTTTACTTGACATTGCACTGAATTTTGCCTGATGATGGATGCAAAAGTAATTGCTTTGCACAGAAATAAAGTCTCTAACTTCATCTGATATATCAACAAATTCATGAATTTTCATAGATCAGCATGTTCAGTACAACATGTAAAACTATGTATTTCAACAACTATTCATAGCAGTGCCAGTCACAGGATAAATTATCAATAGTCTTCATCAATGTTTAAGACATTTACAGGCAAGTTAAGTTAACTTCATATTTTAAAGTTTCAATAATAAGTTGATTGATCAATTTCCTTGTTTTTTAGGTAGCCCTCTTGCTCAGAAAGGCAGGTTGAGAATCACTATTTGTGTGCAAAAAGTCTGACTTTGTCCCACTTTGGTCTCGGAATAAAGTTTTGTTCTGTAACTCAAATGTTCAAATTAAACATTGCTTATAGTACAGCCAGTAGGTCAGAGGTTAAATGATTTGTGATATTGTCTTTGCAAGCTGTAAATCTTTTCCCATGTTATCATATAAATATGATTTTAAGGTTAAAGTGTCAAAAAATTTCAAACTAGTCATTTCATGAAACAGGACTTTATATGTATTGAGAGTATGATTTGGAGCTAAAATACATATCTTTTCTGTATTGATCTTGTAATTGAAGGAGTTATCAGGGTCAGGTGTTGCAGTGGTAACACACTTGCCTTTTACCTATGTGACTGGGGTTGGATGCTGTGAATGGACACGTCTGACCAGGCGGGGTTTCCACAAGTACTTTAGTTTCCTCCTACAATAATATTTCTCATGTTTGTTTGAACTTAATCTTAACAAGAGTGATTAACTTAAGCTTGCTTATTTTGAAATTGTTGTAAAATAAGTAAAGTTGATAGTTTTTAAAAATTTTGGTTTGCTGATTAACTAGGACTAGGTTCATTTTCCCATGTAACCACACTCGCTGTGCATATTTTAATAAATTGTCATCTCTGTTTCTTATGATGAGTCAACCTACATAGAAAACAGAATGTGGTAGTGTCAAATGTCACATTCAAATCACCAATGAATTGGTCTTGACGATGAGCATTTTGCGTATGATATGAGGAAGCCGTTTGATTGTTTTAGGCAGGAACATGAGAGGTCACTGATAGGAGATTTACCTCCCACAAATGACGGGGATTACATGTCAGGGAAATGACTGTGTTGTAAAGATGTCCAGTTCAGGTTTTAGATGTGATGCATTCTTTAGTAACTAGCAATATAGCTAAACATAAAACAAGATTAAAATCTAGTGTTTCACATTTCTTATTTCTTTATGTGAAAAAAATGTTTCAATTTCTTTAAAAATTACGCTATAGATATAAAAAATTGGGAAATGCTGTACCAAAAACATGTTTTTATTAATTGAATTCCTTACCTCAAGCAGGTGAAAATGATTGAATTATTGAAGAACTTCTCACTTACCAAAAGGCCCAGGGTCATGATAATGTTTCTGTATCATGCTTGGATGAAGGGATTCCAAGTTTGTTTCAATTAATTACCATGATATGTGTTCAAGGTCACAGAGGTCAGATGTGTAAAAATCTTTAAACCACTTCCTCTTATTAATCAATAGTCCAGGGTCATCATATCTGGCCTGTCCTGCTACTAAGTTTATTCAAATTGATAATTTTGACCTTTGTTCAAGGTCACATGTCAAATGTGTTAAAATCTCTCTGCAGCTACTAAATAGTCAAAAGACCGAGGAGTATGATATCAGGCCTGACTCATGCAAGGATGAGGGGCTACCTACCTATTTGATAAAATGTATTATCTTTACCTACTTTCAAGAATACAAAGACCAATGTGTTGAAGTATTTAAACATCTTCTCATTAACCAAGAGTTTGTTCAAAGAAGCAGCATGGACCAGCAAACCCATGAGGATCAAACCTTTTCTGGTTGAATAATTTAAGATTTTCACAAGCAACATAACTTAAAGAATGGGTATTATTTAAATATGATCATCAATGTTATCAGAAAAAATATCTTCCAATTATGTTTTTATAAACTGCAGAACAGGTGATCAATACATTGGGCCTTTTGATTTCAACTGAACAATTTGACAAATTTGGCTGGAGACATCCTTAAAAAGTGTAGTAATTAAAAATTGTACAATAAGATGACTGGCACCCTGGGATGAGGGAGTCAATTAGTGGCTACTTAGCCATTTCACTAACTTCCTGATGTGATTAAAAAATGTACATATTGGCTGAGCAGGGTTGGAGGAGGTGGGAGGGGGTACTTTAACTATTTCTTCAAAAAGATATATTTTGCCCTTTTTGCCATGTAACTCAAAGAGATTTTGCTTTAATAATATGACAGCTATGAATTATATTTGATCAGAAGAATATGCAGGTAATGACCTGATCCCAAAATGTACAATGGGGCAACTGAACCTCTATCCGCCTATTTTTATTGTTGGGGTTGAAGAGATGCCGAAAATCATTCTGTCAGGATTAAATCTAGTCCCAGGTTCTAGCATCTGTAGATAAAATGAGAGTCTCTTGTTAGACTATATTGGTTTACTGCCATAGCAAGACTTCCACACACTTCCTTACAGGAACTCATATAACAATTGTTGTAAATTAAGTAAAGTTTATTAGTTTGTATGTTAATATCTAGCACACTGGTTAACAGTATTATCCAGTATATAACTGACCATGGTGACCTTCATATAGTCAATGCAAACTATAGTTTATTCAATTATTTGTTACAAATACCAACATTCATTATATTTGGGATAGTAAAATAAGTTTGAAGCTTTTTGATAGTGTTCATGATCAAAGTTTGTGTCTCTGTATTACATAGTCCCAGTTATGACCAATTTCAGTGCCAGATATACAACCCGAAGTATTATCATGGATTGTTGAAATCATTATGTTACGTTGCCATTCAGCCCTCTAAGTTGTGGTCCAGAAGCGATACCTGTGGTGAAATATATGTAACCCTACTGTGTTTGATTTGTAATTTATTTATTTATTTATTTATTTATTTATTTATTTATTTATTTATTTATTTATTTATTTATTTATTTATTTATTTATTATTTATTTATTTATTTATTTATTTCAACTGTAAACAGATCAGAGTCATGGTCCAGAAGCCACCTATGGTCAATTGTGTGTATCCCCCACTGTATCAACAGCTCAGACCTATCTGTAGTCACTCGTGTGTATCCCCACTGCTTAGACATACCTGTTGTCAATTATCTGTATCCGCACTGCATCAACAGCTCAGAACTACCTGTGGTCACTCATGTGTGTCCACACTGCATCCAAACTACCTATATCTACTATTAGCTGCCCTAGTCATGTGATGATGTTTAGACATACACATTTCTCCTTTGGTTGCCATGCAACCATATGTATTTGTCTCCCCCTCCCCTCACTACAGAATTCCTTTATCACCATCCTCCCATCCAATCTATACCTGACAAGAGTGCTCACTGAACCATAACTGATGAATCTGAGCCATATTTGTTTACTTTGTCCCTTGATATCACCTGTGAGGCTGGGGAGCAATCTCCTTTGTTTTTTTTTACCTGTCAAATGACCCCCTCTAGATAGTGATGATTGTAATTACCTGTACATGTAGACTGGATGTATTTGTATATTAAGGAGGGGACAGGTGTGGCTTGTCAATGTAAATGTCTAGGGATAACCTCTCTGATGAAAATGTTTGGATAGAACAAATTTCACCTGTTGATTTCTTATTGAAATTAACAAAAGTATCTGCTTTGATTTTGTCAGAGACCTGATCTAGGTGACAGCACTTAGATTTATTACAATATTATAAACCTGCAATATTGTATCCATTATTATCAGAGGAATATTAAAACTCCATTCAAATAATTATCAAGAAATGAAAACTAACGTGCAACGTCATTTGTATTATGTTTTAAAATCCTCTTGATAAAGTTATTAAATTTAACTACGTAACTAAAGTGAAAACTTAAACTTAGGGAATGATTCCTATTAAACCTGATGAAAAGCATCATCAGAAGCCAGTGTTCACTGATAAAGATTTGTTACTTATCTAGATTATACATTTACAATTTTATATCTTGTGTTACATTATTTACCTTGTGTCATCGTGTACAACAAATGGGATGTACAGTTGGTGTGTATATAATTACTTACGAATCTGTTAGCTATCAGATTAATTGATAATAATCAAACCATGACAAAAGTACAAAGAAAAACAATCTTGACTTTATCAATTGATGGGTTTTGACTAGATGAGTTTGATCATGGAAATTAATTGTAGAAAATCTGAAATACAGACATCATCTGGTATGTCAGTATTTGGTCTTATTAATACTTAAGCATTGAACTGCTTTCACTTTACATTCATGAGCTGATGAATACCAACTTGACAAAGATAAATTTGTTAGTGCTTCATGATGAGTATGACTTTATCTTTTTGGCATTCATAAGCCCATGAATTCCAACTGAATGCAGTTCAATGCTTGTATTTACTTATTTCTATTGTTAGCTGACTTTCCTTTTTTTCCCTTCATTTTAATATGAGTTCAAATCTCCAACACATTCTGTTGGTAATTGCGAGATGATAACCAACCATTTCTTTACAAAAGAAATATAATGTCAGTGCCAGAAGTTGATGAATATAAGTACCATATCACAACATTCCTTATTACAGTTCGTATAAGATATTGATGGAACTTTCTTTGAATACATGTACATGTAAAAAGATTTAACCTTGGGTTTATATTTCAGGGTACTGGGTTCAAGGTCACGATAACTATGTTAGAAGGTCTCCATCGTTTCAATACCTCTGTATCTGATTTGTTTGTTATGTGATGATACAAAGGTAATTGGGACCTCCCATAAGATCATTTGTCAAGAACCACATGTCAAGGTCAAGGTTGAGATCACACTTTAATGTGAAAATGAGTAATGGCCTTCCACTTCAAATTTGAATGTAAAGTCAACTTCAGATTTGATAAAAAATTACATGACATCAATGAAACAGAAGACACTTGCCCTTTCAGAACACCTGGTCTTATTCTCCATATCCTTTTTCAGAGGTCTATCTGTAAATCTTTACTTTGTTCATACATGTATATTTTTTTTAGTGTCATCAAATTGAGTTTGACTTATGATTCTGTTGACATGTCAGTATTTTTTCGTTGTTTATCATTTTGAATCAGTGGGATTCTATGATGGTGGAATTTGATAGAACAATTAATGTAAGGTACCTTTTTTATATTACAGTGAAAGGGATGGTGTGACCAAGAAAGAAATAGAACTACAAGGTTCATCAGAGATCAGTTCAGCTGACATCAAACCTGAGTAAGTGATAGAGTAAAAGATATTGATATCTGGTCTAAAAAGCAGCACTTTTGTTTCATTTCCCAGTATACTGACCAATGGAGTAGCAGAATTTTGAAGGAAGGATACCATAATATTCATGTGTCAGACTTGGCTGACTGAGACATAGTCTCTTCCTATGAACCAATAAATCTGTAACCAGGATTTTAAACAGCGAAACTCCATTTATACAGCTAACTTTTTTCCCCATTTGTTTTGTCTGAATGTTTTCCTGGTTTATTGCCCAATTAATAACCAGCCAGAGTCGTTTTGAGGTGAGTCTTGTGAGGCTCCTTGTAATGGATGGTGGCTTCTACACTGAACAACATACAGGAGGCTTTGATAAGCCAACAGAACTATGGTAAATAACCTGATGATAATTATTGTATCAAAGACTCCAAGATGTCATGATACTAATTCATCAAAGAGTGACCCTGATTTATAAAAATAACTATAATAGCTAAAAAGATTTTTTTTCTTTTTGTTTTTGGTAAAATAAATTAAAAAAGGAATGAAAGTTTCCCTAAGTGTTGTTGTGATACCTTGCTGTACTACTGGGTGATATAAGTTTTTAAATAGAAACATCAAGAATTCCTTCAGCTCAATAATGTGTGTGGTTATTTTTTCAACACATTTATATATGACACCTGATATTTTGTACATTTTTTCTCTTTATTGTGTGAGGTAGATAAAATTGTATCTGTGTCAGTGATAGGATCACTACAATAAATTTCCATATTGTGTCCATTTCTGTTGAGATGGTTTTACTGCCATGTATAGTCCATGTAAATATGTATCGATCAATATTTCTAGAAATATTCCAAATAGAATTTGATATAATATCGCATGATAGAAATGTTTACATGTGTCCAACTTTGGCTGACAGTTTGTAAAATGTCTTTGTTACAAGCTTTATACAGCTCAAGATGAAAGGAATGTTCATACTCCTATAAACTCTTGAAAGCTATGCTGGGTATGCAGTAACTTTCATTTTCTTCTGATGTGAAATTGTAGTTCACCATATGTCACTAAGATGCTAACCAAGAAATAATACTAGCATTGTGTTTATATGAACATTAACTGTTTTATGGCCAGACATTAAAAATAAGTCCAACATATTGGTTTGTTTACTGGAGGGTTTAATGTTGTCATGCCAACAAACAAGATGTCCAGTCTGCTACATTGGAAGTAGTACAGAAGTCTGAAGGTTTTGGTAATGAGGGATATCTATAGCCACGCAAAAAGCATTCCCCACCATCCATGTGAATGAATAATATCTCTGGTTTTACAAACATTTATAAACCAAAAATAATGCATTTTTCACAAAATTCGGGCAACAGACTAATCATCTATTTACATATACTGATGACAGATAGAGATATACAGCCTTGTCATTGTAGTCACAATAGTAATTAGAGAGTACGTTGTTTCAAACTATGTATTGTTGTTCTTGTTGTCAATAGGATGTCATTATAGAGAGAGGAATCTTGCTTGGCAGCAGGATGTCATTATAGACAGGATGTCCTTATAGAGAGGGGGATTTTGCTTGGCAACAGGATGTCATTATAGACAGGGTGTCATTATAGAGAGGGGGATTTTGCTTGGCAACAGGATGTCATTATAGACAGGGTGTCCTTATAGAAAGGGAGATTTTGCTTGGCAAGAGGATGTCATTATAGACAGGGTGTCCTTATAGAGAGAGGAAATCTTGCTTGGCAGCAGGATGTCATTATAGACAGGGTGTCCTTATAGAGAGGGGGAATCTTGCTTGGCAACAGGATGTCATTATAGACAGGGTGTCCTTATAGAGAGGGAGATTTTGCTTGGCAACAGGATGTCATTATAGACAGGTTGTCCTTATAGAGAGGGGGAATCTTGCTTGGCAGCAGGATGTCATTATAGACAGGGTGTCCTTATAGAGAGGGAGATTTTGCTTGGCAACAGGATGTCATTATAGACAGGGTGTCCTTATAGAGAGAGGAAATCTTGCTTGGCAACAGGATGTCATTAGAGACAGGATGTCCTTATGCTTGGCAACAGGATGTCATTATAGACAGGGTGTCCTTATAGAGAGGGAGATTTTGCTTGGCAGCAGGATGTCATTATAGACAGGATGTCCTTATAGAGAAGGGGGAATCTTGCTTGGCAACAGGATGTCATTATAGACAGTGTGTCCTTATATGGCAACAGGATGAGACAGGTTGTCCTTATAGAGAGGGATATTTTGCTTGGCAACAGGATGTCATTATAGACAGGGTGTCCTTATAGAGAGGGGGAATCTTGCTTGGCAACAGGATGTCATTATAGACAGGGTGTCCTTATAGAGAGGGAGATTTTGCTTGGCAACAGGATGTCATTATAGACAGGGTGTCCTTATAGAGAGGGGGAATCTTGCTTGGCAACAGGATGTCATTATAGACAGTGTGTCCTTATAGAGAGAACAGGATGAGACAGGGTGTCCTTATGAATCTTGCTTGGCAACAGGATGTCATTATAGACAGGTTGTCCTTATAGAGAGGGATATTTTGCTTGGCAACAGGATGTCATTAGAGACAGGATGTCCTTATAGAGAAGGGGGAATCTTGCTTGGCAACAGGATGTCATTATAGACAGGGTGTCCTTATAGAGAGGGGGAATCTTGCTTGACAACAGGATGTCATTATAGACAGTGTGTCCTTATAGAGAGGGAGATTTTGCTTGGCAACAGGATGTCATTATAGACAGGTTGTCCTTATAGAGAGGGATATTTTGCTTGGCAACAGGATGTCATTATAGACAGGGTGTCCTTATAGAGAGGGGGAATCTTGCTTGGCAACAGGATGCTTGGCAACAGGATGTCATTATAGACAGAGTGTCCTTATAGAGAGGGGGAATCTTGCTTGGCAACAGGATGTCAAAGACAGGGTGTCCTTATAGAGAGGGAGATTTTGCTTGGCAACAGGATGTCATTATAGACAGGGTGTCCTTATAGAGAGGGAGATTTTGCTTGGCAACAGGATGTCATTATAGACAGGTTGTCCTTATAGAGAGGGGGATTTTGCTTGGCAACAGGATGTCATTATAGACAGGGTGTCCTTATAGAGAGAGGAAATCTTGCTTGGCAACAGGATGTCATTAGAGACAGGATGTCCTTATAGAGAAGGGGGAATCTTGCTTGGCAACAGGATGTCATTATAGACAGGGTGTCCTTATAGAGAGGGAGATTTTGCTTGGCAGCAGGATGTCATTATAGACAGGTTTTCCTTATAGAGAAGGGGAAATCTTGCTTGGCAGCAGGATGTCATTATAGACAGTGTGTCCTTATAGAGAGAGGGAATCTTGTTTATCAACATGTCATTATCTTAGTGTGTTGTTTTGGAAAGAAATGTACTTTTTTAAGCCCGAAATATTAACATGATAGTATGTTATCAAGGTGATGTGTAATAAAGGTAAAACAAGGTTTAAACGGAAGGTTGTGTACAAGTCATTGTAATTATAGTCAGGAAGTTCTTTTACACAAAGGGTTTTACGGTGGCTTGTTGGTCCAGTGGGGTTGCTGTGAGTTCATTTTCTAAAATATGGAAACATTCCTTATAACACATGATTCATCATGACCAGCTAGTTTGTCTTATGATAACCACAACGAAGGTCAAGGTCAGGATAAAAGGTTAAAGTTCAGATGCTTGTTCTGATCTTATATATCCATTGTCTCTGTATGAAACTTAGCCTTCCCCTATGAATGAGCTCACGACAAGATTCATCAACAAAGAGTTTGAAATTGTCATGGGGAGGTAAAAGCATTATCTTGGAATAAGCCCATGTTTGATAATAAGGCCACCAGTATGTATTGAAAAAAACCCACCTGTACCCCAGTCGTTCTTGATGAAATGTGATTGGCCTCTGGTATATTGTTCAATGAGGTATCAATCAGCTACTATAAGCAGTCTTCATCTTAAAATGACACTGGCTGTTCATGGGATGATGAACCCAGCAAACAATTAAACTGAAATGAAAAAATTTCATAAAAAATAGATTACTATGTTGGTGTACAAATGATATCAGATATAAACACGGAAGAAAATCAATCAATCTAGACAGAATTAAACTGAAAATGTGAGTCCAGATGTTTTTAACTGTTGTGTCTAAAGATTATGTTTTTATTAGCCCACCATCATCAGATGGTGGGGTATTCAAATCGCCCTGCGTCCGTGGTCCGTCGTCCGTCGTCCGTCGTCCGTCCGTGAACAATTCTTGTTACCGCTATTTCTGGAAAAGTACTGGATGGATCTTTCTCAAATTTCATATGCAGGTTCCCCTTGGTCCCTAGTTGTGCATTGTACTTTTTTTGGATTGATTTGAATTCAAGATGGCAGACAGGTGGCCATCTTGGTTTTTGAAATTAAAAGTTTGTTACCGCTATTTCTGAGAAAGTGCTGGATGGATCTTTCTCAAATTTCATATGCAGGTTCCCCTTGGTCCCTAGTTGTGCATTGTACCTTTTTTGGACTGATTCGAATTCAAGATGGCCGACAGGTGGCCATCTTGGATTTTCGAAGTAAAAGTTTGTTACCGCTATTTCTGAGAAAGTACTGGATGGATCTTTCTCAAATTTTATATGCTGTTTCCCCTTGGTCCCTTGTTGTGCATTGTACCTTTTTTGGACTGATTCAAATTCAAGATGGCCGACAGATGGCCATCTTGGATTTTGGATGTAAAAGTTTGTTACCGCTATTTCTTGGAAAGTACTGGATGGATCTTTCTCAAATTTCATATGCAGATTCCCTTTGGTTCCAAGTTGTGCATTGTACCTTTTTGGACTGATCCGAAATCAGGATGGCTGACAGGCAGCCATCTTGGATTTTGAGAGTAAAATCTTGTTACTGCTATATCTGAGGAAGTACTTGATGGATCCTTCTGATATTTCATAGATATTGGTTTCCCTTGGTCCCTAGTTGTGCATTGTACCTTTTTTGGACTGATTTGAAATCAAGGTGGCCCACAGG